TTGCATTTAAGTTACCTTGGTCACTGTCTCTACTAAGTTAAGAAAACACCAGTAATTCAATTAAGTTCAGTATCTATTCAGTTCAATTAAGCAAACATCTATTAACTAAATTCTATTGCGATGACCAAAGATACCCTCCTGAAAGATTATGAGTTGTGGAATGACATGATAAGATCTATACACTAGGGAGATCAATGTGACATAGGATGTAAGATACATTTTTGGGAGGAGAGGCTGGAGGTAGGGAGAATATCGAGGAGGCTATTGCAACTAAGCCTATGGAAAGTTGATGAGCTATTCTGATGGCCTGGATGAGGTCTGTGGCATTGGGGACAGATGTGTGAAACATTCCTGAGGTAGACTTTACAAGATTTTGCCACTAATGCAAAGTAATGATCAGAGGAAATGAGGAAGGAGTCTCAGAGTAATAGATTTTGAGAGTTGGAAGGAACCATTTATTCCAACCCACACAAAAAAGGAAACCTAACTATAATATATTTGACAAGTGGTCATTCAGTTTCTCTTTGAAGACTGTCAGAAATTGAGAACCCACCACCTCTCAAGGGGCATCATTATACTTTTGGACACCTCTAATCACTAACAAGATTTTGGTGAAATCAATCCTAAGTTGTTTTCTTTATAATTTTTAACTGATTATTTGTAGTTCTATGCTCTGGGGCTAACCAGAAGAAGTCTAACTGATCATCACATGATAGCCCTTCAAGTATTTCAGAAATCTATCATGTTTCCCCTAGATATTTTTTTTATTCAGGTTAAACACGTCAAGTTCCTTCAACTTACCCTCATATGTCATGAACTCCAGATCCTTCACCATCAAGGTTGCCCTTCACTGGACACTCCAGTTTATTAATGTTTTTTTAAATTAATTTATTTATTTTTAGTTTTCAACATTCACTTCCACAAGATTTTGAGTTCCAAATTTTCTCCCCATCTCATCCCTCCCCTCCACCCTAAGATGGCATGCATTCTGAATACCCCTAATCTGCCCTCCCTTCTATTTCTCCCTTCCCTTCTCTTATCCCCTTCCCCTTCAATTTTCCTGTAGGGCAGGATAGATTTCTATACTCCATTTCCTATAGATCTTATTTCCCAGTTGCATGTGAAAACAATTTTTTTTAACTTTTGTTTTTAAAATTTTGAGTTCCAAATTTTCTCCCTTCCTCCCTCCCCTTATTAATATCTTTTTAAAAGTCATGTTGCACAGAACTGAACAAATAGTGTAGTTGAGGTCGAATGAAGGCAGAATGAAGTGAGACTATCACTTCTCTATTCTAGAATATATGTTCTTCTTAAGGCAGCCCAAGATTGAATTGGATTTTGTTTTTTTTGCTACAACATCATACAATGTATTCATAGTGAGCTTGCAGTATACAAAAACTCCAGATTCCACCCCCCCAGAAGACCTACTATCTCTCTAAACCCCCCTCCATCTTATACTTATGATGTCATTATTTTATGCCCAAGTGCAAGACTTATACCTATTGAATTTCATCTTATTAGATTCAGACCATGGCTCCAGTTTGTCAGGATTATTTTGAATCCTCACTTTGTCATTCTCTGTATTAGTCCTCCTTTTCATCTTTGTATAATTCACAAATTTGCTGAACCCTAATTTATGCTGTTCTCCAAATCATTGATAAAATTGTTAAACTGTCTATGGTTGAACACAAATCCCTGGGGTACTTTACTGGATGCCTCCTGCCACGTTAAACCATTAACAGCTACTTTTTTAGTCAAATCATATAACTATTTCTTAATTCAACTGGTCTTATTCTCATTTAATACCACAAGAAGAGTGAGATACTTTATCTAAAGCTTTCCAAAAATCTAAATAAATGGTAATTCACAGTATTTTCCTTACCTACTAGTTAATAATTGTCAAAAATGTAATGAAGTCAATCTGATATGATCTGTTCTTGATGAGGCCATGTGGGTTCTGTTTGTAATTACCATTTTATTTTATTTTATTTTTTATTTTACAAACTATTTCTTTAACATCTTTAATAATCCATTGTGGACTTTCACCAGAAGTCAAAAACAGACTCAATGATCTATCATCTTTAGACTTTGTCTCTTTCCTTTTTTGAAAATCAGGATTACATTTACCTTCCTCCAGTCTTGTGGTACCTCTCATTTTTGACATGATCTTTCTTTTTCTAATTTTACTCTCTTTTTCTATAAATAAGTATTTATTTCTCTCACTCTCTCTATCCATTTTTTGAAAGAAGAAACAAAGCAAAATACATTTAATAAATATGAATAGTCAAGCAAAACAAGTTTCCATATTGTATATACCCAAAAAAATATGTCTCATTCTGCATCTTGAGTCCATCATTTCTCTGTCAGGTGGGTAGCATGGACCATCATTTGTCCTCTGGAATTATGGTTGGTCATTGCATTGATTAGAGATCTTAAATCTTTCAAAATTATTTGTTTTTATGCTATTGTGATTGCATACCTTTATCTCCTAGTTATTCTTATTTCGCCCCCTATTATTTCTTATAAATCTTTCCAGGTTTCTCTGAACTCAATCCTCTTGATATTTCTTATGGCACACAGTATTTTATTATACCCATAAGCATTATTGGTTCAACAATTGCCCAGTTGGTGGGCATCTTCTTAGTTCTGAGGTCTTTGACATTACAAAAGAGCTTCTAGATTTTTGCATATATGAATCATGTGCCTTTTCTTTGATCTCTCTCAGATATCACTAGGAATGACTCAGCAATTAAATATGCTAATATTATTTGAATCCAAGAATACAGTTCTTTTGAGTAAGGGGCCTTGAATTTATTGAGGGCAGCTAAGGACTTCTTTAGTCTCTCCTTAGTTATTTGTGTAACAACACTCTATTAGTAATTTTTTTTTTGTGTTGTCAGTTTTGGCATAAAGGTTCTTTTCTTTGTAGAGAAAAGAGAAACAAAACAATCATTTGTTAGCTCAGCTCTCCCTCTCTCTCTCTCTCTTTTTCTCTTTCTCAGTCCTCTCTCCCCCTCCTTTCCTCTCTCCTTCCCTCTTTACTCTGTCTCTCCTCAAAAGTCTGTTTTTCTTCTGACCACTACTTCTCTTAACTCTCTACTAATGTAGCCATCCCATGGCTGTGCTGTGTTTCAGGGGCCTTCCATCTTCCTGGTGAGATAGACCTTTTCTGTCCACTTCTTAAGTTGTCTTGGGCTAGATAATTGTTTCACATGAGCTTTTGTTGGTTCTGCCACTCCAGATTAGATCTGGGGCATTATTTTAGAGTTGTTTGGAGAGAAATTTGGGAGAGTCCTTCTCTACTCCTCCATCTTGGTTCCACCTCTCTGAATTTTCAATTAGTTAAATTTAAGCTCATCTGAATGCAAAATATATCATACGACATCTGAAGGCAATTCATGATGAGTGTCTAAGAATCATAAGAGTATATAAAGTCTTCTGATACCAAAATCCAGCATGATTTATAACATACCACACTGCCTTTCACCTATGTTACTTATTAATGAGTAAAGATTATGATTTCTTACTCATATACACTTATTGCTAATTTAAAATATTTTCTTTAAACCCATTTTTGTCTGACACAATTCTCTTTTAGGTAGACCTTTCCATCTGGAATGGGTGATAATCTGCTGTTAGACAGCACTTTCTCAATGGTGGAAAAGTGAACTATTTGGAGGAGCTAAGTATTACAAGATGTTGTTAAGTGTGGGCTGATCATGAAAATATTTTCCTGTGTAACATCATTCTAGTTCTTTTTCCTACCATCTTACAATAGAAATTTAATGCAGTTTTGCTCTTAGTGGCACATTTCATGAGTACTCAGTCCATATGAAATTATTATTTTCTTCTTTTTTTCAGATAATGATTTTATTGGCCATATTAAACTTGCCCCATGAAACCTTTCAGAATGCCTATAAGTTCTTAGAATGATTCAGTAGAAAGTTAATAATAAAATGAATAAATTTAAAGGAAAATCATTTTTTAAAACATTGAACTCAACACTTTCATATATCCTCTAACTTCAGTAAAATTTCATGTAATTGATCTGTATCTTCACTTGTCGTGGAATTAATTAATCATGTCACTGGAAAGGTAGCATCCTTTTCATTCATTGAATAAACCACAAGATCACAAAAGAGGCATCTTTAACAAAAAATAGTCAACACAACACATTTTATTAAGATTCACTAATTTTCCTCCCTTCTGGCCACTCAGTTTCCAGTCCCAGAACAGAAAAAACAAAAAACTAGAGTTAAGATGATCAGAAAATTTCAGGCTTCAGTGTTCTTTAATCTTTTGGGGTATCAGAAAAGAAAACAAATTGCAGGTGTGCTTCATTTGTAGAACATGAATTTTCCAAACAAAACTGACTGTAAAATGAATAATTAAAAAAAATTCCATTTTCCCTCTGATTGGAAGGAAAGTTGAAAGGTTCTTTCTCTTTTTCTCATAGGAATTTTTTGGAACCCAAGATATTGCACATATCACACTTAAACATACAACCCATTTTTAAAAAATCATATATTGAAAAAGAATAGGGATAATATTATGGTAAAAATTGATAATACTAAAATAAATCATAAAGTACCAATATAAAAACAAAGTATCATACTAAAACATCTTTGACTGGAGTTGGATCCACAGAAAAGAAGGGTATATTCTTTGAGATGCATGATCCTTTAAATTTAGTCTACCATTTCAATTACCCTTGCTACAAATTAAAACACAGATTGTGTTGTTTCTATTTTAGAAAATGAATGACAGACTGTAGAACAAACTACCTAGGGCATATTCGTCAGTGAGAAAATATGAACTAGAACCTTACTTTACTACGATCCTCGAAAAAAGCTATATTTGCCAATTTGGGTTTGGTTCCTAAGCTGATACATAGGCCTCTAGGGTTGTACAATTTACTAATGAGTTCCACAGAGTTCTCTCCTGTGTCCCTTTTCATCTTAATTTCAGATTGGAGAATGGATGGATTTCACAATGGCCTTTCATGTCTTGTGAGAAGTCCTTTTGGTCACCAGAACTTTCTGCAGAGCAGCCTTCATATCCTTGTTTCGGAGGCTGTAGATTAAGGGGTTCAAGAGTGGAGTAATAACTGAATAAAATAGTGTCACGACTTTCTGGAATTTTAATGGCTTCTCTGATCCTGGCCTCACATATATTGTCATAACAGAGCCAAAGAACAGGATCACTACAGTCAGATGTGAAGCACATGTGGAGAAGGCCTTACGTTTGCCAGCAGCAGAGGGAATCCGCAGAACAGAAAGAATGACTAAGGCATAGGAGATGAGAATGAAAATAAAAGTACCAACCATAAAGATAATATTGAAAGTAGAGTAAATGATCTTTGTGGTATGGGCTTTGGAACATGAAAGGGCCATCAATGGGACAGGATCACATATGAAGTGATCAATGATGTTTGAGCCACAATAAGACAACTGTGAGATGAGAGCAACTGGTATTATGAAGAGGATAAAGCCACCTGACCAGCCAAAGGCCACCAATCTAGTGCAAAGATGTGTAGTCATGATCATTGGGTAATGTAGTGGGTGACAGATAGCAAGGTACCTATCAAATGCCATGATGCAAAGATAGAAGCCTTCATCACAGCCAAAAGAGAAGAAGAAATAAAATTGTATAAAGCAACCAACAAAGGTGACAGTCTTGGTTTCAGAAAAGAAATTGGCCAACATGTTGGGAACAGTTGTGGTGACATAGCAGATCTCCAGGAAGGAGAAATTCCCCAAGAGTATGTACATGGGAGTATGGAGGTGCCGATCCCAGCGCACAGCACAGACAATTGCTGCATTTCCCATTAATGTTAGCATATAGGTTACTGAGAATACCACAAAGTAGACCATCTGTAGCTCCCAACTGGAGAGAAAGCCCAAGAGGATGAAGTGACTAAAGGAATTGACCATGTTTTCTGTATCAGAGATATTTCTTTTTTCAGAAGCCATGAAGATGATGCTAGGTATCAAAACACAAATTAAATTGAGATTGCTGCTTTTCCCTGAGAAATGTGAATTGCATTTTCATTTGTTTTAATCAAATGGTAAGCATTCTGACATTTGCTGGAGAGGCAACATTATGATGTCCCCTCTCTATTGAGAAGATACAAATGAACTCCTTTAACCTATAAAGCAATACAATACTACAAAGCAAAACACAGTAGTGATCTGGGTTAGATTTTAGCTAACAAAGACAATTGAACTCAAATTCAAGAATCCTTGTGTCTAGTCCTGGGTTTGCTACTACCTTCCTATTAGGTCTGTTACCTAAACTGCTTCTATTTCCTTATCTTTAATATGCATATGAGAGAAAGTGTGACATGATGGATAGGTGGATAAGCTTAGAGTCAAGAAGATCTGGATTTGAGTCCTTAGATTTAACATGTCTCTGGCACATATTGTCTGTGTAATTATGGGTAGGTCACTTAGACTATCAGTATCCTGGGTAATCCTTCAGTCTGCAGGTTGCAGAGCAGTTGCTATGTTGGTGGAGGGTGTGTCCTCACCAATTTCCCTGAACACTTTTTCCAGCATTGGCTGCACATTCTTTCATATCGCCTGACTCATTGGTGATGGTGGAGGAGTAGAAATACTATACTCTCCCCATTGTCACTTCTGCTCTCCCTTTACCATTATCACTCAATAACTACTTTGAGTTTGATTGAATCCACATTTATCATCCAATCAAAATTCTGGGGATGTTTGTTGTCTATCAGTCTCTAGGACACTCCTTCCTTGGTTCAGTGCCTGCTTCACAGTCTTTCAATCCTCATCAATCCCTGCTCTAATACTAGGGACTTCAATTATTGATACTTCCTCATAAACTCTAACCTCTCAATTCCTCAGCTTACTCATTTCCTATGAAAGATTCCTTCACTCCATATCAGCTGCGAACAAAGATGGTCATACCTTTGATCTTACCATCACCTAAAAGTGTTCCACTTCAGTGTCCATAGACTCTGAAATTCTTTTATCTAATTGTTATCTGCCGTCCATCTCTTCCTCCTCCCTGAAACTCCAAATGCTGCTCTTCATCCTCCCTGTGAGCTTCAATCTCTCCACCCCTCAGTTTTTCCCCCCAAGCCCTCCCACCTGCACTGCCTATACTCTCTTTCTTTTAACTCTACCGTGACCTCTTCCACTAAGTCTCTTGAACCCCTTAGCCCATCAAAGATCTTGCCAAACTTTAGCCTCAGATTACTTCTACTATCTGCTGCCCTCAGTCCTCCTCACATGCTATTGAAAGAAGCTAGGGTTCAAAATCCCAAACTATGATGGCTTTATGGACTTGATCCACTATAAATGTATGTTACATAACCTCAACTGAGGCCTCACTGCAGCCAGACAATCCTTTAAAACCTCCTGAATTGATTCACTACCCCACACAGCAGAGTGTCTTTTGCAAACCTTTCCTTAAATCTCTCATAGCTCCTCCTCTTCTCACCCTCCCAGCTGAGTATTTCACTGAAGAAATTGAGGCCATTCACCTAAAACTTCCTCTTTTTTCTTCCTCTTCAACTCATATTTTACTACTAACTCCTCTTCCCTTGTCTAACATGAAGGAGAATGTCTCTTTCACCTTGCCAAGGGCACTCTCTATATGTACAGGTGATGCCATTTTGTTTCTTCTCTATCAGATTGACCCCTCTATTATTCTCAATCTCTCACTTATCTTCAATCTCTGCTGTCTACTGGTTGCTTCTGTGATGTCTGCTAATATGCCCATGTCTTCCCCATCCTCAAAAACCCTCACTTGTTTCACCTATCCTCACCAACTATCATCCCCTATCTCTCCTCCTTTTTGCAGATAAACACCTAAAGAAGTCTATTTAAAATGTGTACCTCCACTTCCTTTCTTCTTACTAGATGTTGATTCTCTGCAATATGGCATCTGACTTCATCATTCAACTGAAACTGTTCTCATCAAAGTTACCAATGATCTTGCAATAGCTAAATCTAATAGTCTTTTCTCAATCCTCATCATTTTTTGAACCTTTCTTCTGCCTTTGAAATTGCTCTTCACCCGTCTTGATGATCTTTTCCTTTTATAGTTTTATTTCACTACTCTTTCCTGATTCTTCTCCCACCTGTCTGACTTAGCTGGATCTTCATCCAGGTTATGCCCATTAATTGTAGGTGTTGTCTAGGGCTCTATCTTGAGCCATCTCCTCTTCCCCTCTAAACCATTTTGCTTCTTTATCTCAACAATATCCATAGCTTCAATTAACATGTTTTGTATAAATTATTCTCAGATCTAGCTGTTCAACCCTAACTTCTCTCTTGTCCTCCAGTGTTTCATCTCCAACTGCCTATTGGACATATTAAACTGGGTGTTTTGTAGACATCTTAAATTCCACATGTCTAAAACTTAATTTATCTCCTCTCCCCCAAAAGTTCCTCTCTTCCTAAGTTTCCTATTACTGTCAAAGATACCAGTATCCTCCAAGTAGCTTAGGTTTGCAACCAAGATGTCAACACAAATCCTTACACTCATCCCCCATAAAAAATCACTTCCCAAGTCTTGTCATTTCTACTTCCCAACATCTTTCATATATTCTACTTTATCTCCTTCGACCCTGCTACCACTCTAGTGTCTGTCCTTGTCATTTCATGCCCAAACTACAGTTATACTTTCCACATCATGGGGATTACGGGTATGTTGCCCCAGCAATCTAGAAAATCCACCTAAAATTTTAGCTCCTCCCTTTGTTCTAGGGAAAAAGTCTGAATTATTATGGTATTAAAATCTAAAATATGTTGATATTATACAATACTATACATGTATTTTATGCATTTCCAAATTTCTAAATTGTTTTGTATTATCTGGTAGTCCTTGCATATCATCTGCAGCTTCTGCAAAACTCCCAAAATATTCCCATTTAATTTTTATGCCTACCTATGACATATCAAAACCATGACTGGGAATGTCACAATGTAGAAGGGATAACTGTATTATAATAGCTCACTGATTGGTCTCTGCCTCAAGTCTCTGTCAAATTGATTTCTTAAATCACAGATGTGATCATGTTATCCCTCTATTAAAAAAAGGGCTCCAGTGGTTCACTATTATCTCTAGGATCAAAGAGTTTTTAAGGTCATTCATAACTTGGTCCCCTACTACTTTTCCAGTCTTCTTACACCCTACTCCCTTCTACATACTCTATGATCCAGTGGCACTGGCCTCCTTCCTGTTCCTTATACATAACACTGCATTTTTCAATTCTAGCCACTTTCATTGGCTGGAATCACCTCCCTTATTGTCTCTGTCTCTTGGTTTCCCTCCAGTCTCGGCTAAAGTTTCACCTGTGGCAAAAAACCTTTTCTAGTCCTCCTTAATCTTCATGCCTTCCCTCTGAGATTTTCTCTAATTTATCTTGTATATATCATATTTGTATATATCTTATATATATATATATATAGCTGTTTCCATGCTGTCTCTTCCATTAGACTGTGAATTCCTCGAGATCAAGAACTATCAGGCAAAAGCTTTTCTTTTCTCTAAGCACCCTAGTGCTTAGCAGTGTCTGACACATAGTAGGCATTCAGTAAAAGCTCATTGCTTTAATTTGACAGACTTCTGATCTGCATTGATAGAGAGGATTTCCTCACCAGGAATTCCTATTCCTAACTGGGAGATTATTAGGAGTTGTTTTTGGTCAACCTATTTTAATAAATCCTTAAAGAGACCACTTCTCCCCAATCTGTATCTGTAAGTCATTTGCTTTATCAGAATACAAAACAGAATTGCCTACAAGTAGTACAGTGAAAAGAGCACTGGGTCTGAAGTGAGAAGTACTGTGTTCAAAACTCATTATTTATACTTACTATATGACCTTGGTCAAGTCACTTGACGTCAATCTTCCTCACTTTCTTCATTTGTAAAATGAAGGGCTGGACTAGATGGTCCCTGAGGTCCTTTCCAGCTCTGAATCTATGATCCTATGAACTCCCTCAGAATGAAACAGAGACATTTTGGAGGAGATGATATCAAATACGCAGCTCAACTGAAACATCTTCTCCTCAACTAATTGTTCTGCTATCCTAGACCTTGGCCAGGAATCTGAAAATTCTGTTCTTTTTCTTCCTGTAATGTATGAAAGAGCTGTACTCCATCCAGGCTTCTGTACATGGATGGACTAACAAATGTTTAACAATAGGCTCTCCAGAGGAAAAAATGTAAGTACAACAAATTTTCAGGTTTTATCTGCCTTATTAACACTTTCTCCACCACTTTTTAAAGTATCAACAAAATCAACAAAACAATAAATCAAGCCCTGTTTTGAAGTGTTTTAGATTTCTGGTCCTGAGCCAGGGGAAGCCAGCTCCAGTCCACCCTAGGTAACCCCCAGGGACTTCTCTCAGGGGACCTATATATAGGCTATATTCATTTAGTCAGTTCATAGGACCATAGATTTAGATCCCAAAGTGGCCTTAAAAGTGATCTGGTCCTACTCTTTCCTTTTTTAATGAGGAAAATGAGGCCCAGAGAAGTTGTAACTTGCCCAACATCATACCTGTAGAAGAGGCAAAGTCAGGATTTTATGAGTTCAAAGCCACTGTTTTATGCACTATATCATTATGCTACCTTCAAAAGTCTAGGAAAGATTCCTTCCCCTTGCCCCACATTGGGAAAACATTTCTTTGTCTTTAATTTGTAGAGCTAGTACAAATCTGCATTGTAGAGAGCTATATTCAGGGTTATGCTAGAGCCAGTACCTTGGTAAGAGCAGATTCAGTGTGAGTATTTACACTGTGGAAACTGGCAAGCAATAAAAACCAGGGCTTGATTTATTATTGTTTTGCTGATTATCTAGATATAATAAAGTGATAGAGAAAATGTTAATAATGCAAATTTAAAGGGTATTATCCATTTTTAGCAATTTGGTTGTTAACCATTTGCCAGGGCATCCCTCAATACACCCTCA